GAAGCCCCTAGATACAGGAAGCCAATTGGATTGAAATCTGATGGTGTTTACAACCTGAAACCAATCACATGATAAGAATGTGATGATGTCCTAATGGGTAGAGAAGGCGAGGGAGAGAGCCGACTGTCATCTGCCAGAGTTAGCACCATTCAGCTCTCAGAGAAAGCACATCGAATTCATCAAAAGGAGCACAGCATTTTAGCTCAAAGTCCTTACTGAAGAAATTTGAGAGATAAAACATTTCTCACGGCAGAATTAATGGAAAAAAGGCATTTGTGAAGAGAGCGGAGATGACAGAATATTCCAGAAGACATTCTGTGCGAACTTGGAGAGATTAAGTTGTAAGTTATTTATTGCTTCTTATTAATTGAGTTTCTATGAGTGGAACTTATTTTTTATTTAGACAGCATTATAGTAGAATTTAGACCATTTCGGGAGTAGTTAGCAGTCTAAGGGGGAATTGTCGGTTTGTTAGTAATTTTGTTAATTTGTTCATTGTTGGGTTTAATAAATAAATTGTTTCTTGTCACTTGTAAAATGGAGATCAAGGATTTTCTTTCTATTACATTCTCTTTTAATAGATTATGAAGGGAAAGGCGAGCTTCTGGGGGTATTTAGGGAGTAATTATTAGACGGGAACCCCTACTTCTGTCATAACAGATTGGGGCTTGTGTTTTAGTTTAATTATCAGAGGGGTCCGGCCATTCCCTGTTGTAACACCTTCTGTCAGTTCTCTTTAGTGAGGGATGTCTGCCAGGCGCTGTCCTGTTAGATTCCCAGAAGCTGCAGTGATCGGGTCAGTGAGTTCTCAAGATTGACAGTTGAATGTGACCAGCTTGTCGGACTATTTCAGCTCACTGTCCGTTTCATATCCCAGCTCACGGTAACGGTTCTCATTTTCTGGAGAAATCACTTGTGATCCACCTAAAGCTGCCTTTTGTCGCAGAAACTTGTGTGTGGGGATGGAGAATGGACATGAAGCACATAGAGTGGATATAATCATGAGGACTCTGTCACTCTTGGGAATGTGTCTGTGTGTCTCCCTCTGTGGGTGAAAATGAGAATGAGTTCCTTCAGGGAGTATTTACACAGTTTTATCATCTGTACCTTCAGTTCAATTCATTGTGTCATTTGAGATTACAGGGACAAGCTGATTGACATTTGCCCGTGAAACATGAGAGCACACAAGGCTATGGGCCAAATGGTGGAAACTAGATGGAGTTTTGGTGACCTGCGCTGACACGATGGGCCGAATGGTTTTCTTCCACCCTGTAAAAACTCAAAAATGGAGAAATAAATCTACAGTGAAAATGATCACAAATTAAAACGCAAAGGCAGTATTATTGAGAAAATATATGAATGTGTCTGTTGCTTTCCCTGGTGATCAAGTGGTTAGGATTTGGCGCTCTCACCTTTGTAGCCGATGTTCGAGTCCTGGTCAGGGAATGGAAGTTCTACTCTGCTAATTTATTGTGATGACAGCATTTCTGACTGTTTTTTTTCAGGAGCTGGAAGGTAATCGATTTTATTGCAAACGCTATTCAGATTAACATAAAACAAAGAACTGTGGAAAACCGACACGAAAACAGGAATAGATTGAGAAACTCGGCAGGTCTGACAGCACCAGTGTAGAGGAATAGAGTTAACATTTCGGGTCCAGTGACTATTTGTAAGTGCAAGGTTTGTTATGAATTTCTATGTTACAATGCCAGAGGAAATTGTCAGCTCTATCTGTTGAATCAACATATTTATCAAATTGTGCTCTCTCATTAGGTGACAACTGTCAACTTTACAACCTTAAAGGGATTTCATTGGCTCTAATGCTCCTTCCATTGCCCAGATGTGGTGTGAGGCTGATTAAATGGTTGCCTTTTTCTTTTCCGTTGTGTCAGTTAGCAGCCATGTCGAATGGAGAATTGGTCCTTTCAGTGTCTACCTCAGTATGTATCTCTATTTGTCTCTCTTTGTTTCTGATTCTCCACTTCACCCCCTTTCACATTCTCCAACTCTCCTTCTGTCAAAATCCCTCATTTCCCATTCCTGCACTGTGTAAAGTCTGAAATTCGGAGATAATTTAAGAGTGGAGCTGCAGAGAAGCTTTTACCCTCTGGCTGGAGTGTCAAGAACTGGGCTCACATTCTCCGGATAATGTGTCTGTCACTTAGGGCGGAGGTAATGAAATATCTCTTCTCTCAAAAGATTGTGAATCTTTAGAATTCTAAATAGAATTCTCAATCCACCAGAAAAAGATACAATTAAAGGATTATAGTGATGTCTTTACTGTTTGGTGTAAAATGAATGACTGGTGACAGCGGAGAATGAGGGCGATCAGCTCACTCTGACTGGGCCATTACCATAACATTCCCCGCTAAGTCTGCAATTTATCCTGCTCACCTTGTTATTCTGACCAAACCAGGAATGAAGGGATGAGAAAAGAAGAAAAGGAGAGGCAGAAGTCCTTGCGGAACAGCAGAAAGGAACTTCATGATGAATCCAGCAGAAAAAAGAGAAGTCACTGAAGCAGTCTCCTGAGGACAAATGTGTTTTCTTTGCCAGTAAAATTCACCACTTCACTAAGCAGGGACCATTGAACTGAAGCAGTAACGGTGATTATCTTTACTGATTGTTCACCGTGTGAATGTTACCATTGCTGTTCATGTCCCTTTCAGCACCACAACACTGGCGCATGTAAGCATTGCACATACGTGGGGCCAGTGATGCAATGGATAATGCGCCTGACTACAGATCAGGAGAGTGTAGGTTTGACTACCGAGCTCAAGCGTAGTTCACAATTTCTTTACACTTCCAAACTAATCTTCCTCATTGCCCTGAAACCAAGATGAGCTTTGAATTTCTAATCGACAGGAACAAGACTCCTTTCAATGTCTCACATCAGTAAATGTCACCGAGAATGTCAGAGGAGGGGAAGCTGAAATAGTCCCACAAAATTCACATTCAATTTCCCAAAACTACTGACCCAGTCACTGGATCTCCCGGGAATGGAAAGAAAACAAAACAAAAAATAAAACCAGTCTCTGCTTTGTGAGTCTTTAGAAATTCTTTGGGAAGCGGAATCAGAGGAGAATGAAGGTGAATTTTCCAACTGAGCAGTGGCAGTCGAGCAAGCTTCCCCTTCTTTAAGAGGCTGGGACATTGACTCTGATGCTCTCGGGGACATTAACTGACCTGAGACACTGAAAGGATTCCCATCAGAGACTGCTCTGTGTTTGATTTTGTTACTGTCAGGAACAATAAATCCTGATTCCCTGACCAGAAATCGAACTTATTATCCCAGTTTCCAACACTTAGCCTGGAGCCTTGTGTGCTCTGACGTTTCAAGCATTCATCTCAATGATATTTTCCCTGTAATGATTTAATCTCCAGTGCCACAAAGAATGGGACTGAGATTTGAGATGGTAAAGTTGTGTTCATGCCCCCTCGGGGAACTGAACCTCATTTTCATCCAGAGAAGGAAACACAGAGGCACATTGTCCCAAGAGTAACAAAAACAAAGTTGCTGGAAAAGCTCAGCAGGTCTGGCAGCATCTGTGGAGGAGAAAACAGAGTTAACGTTTCGGGTCTGGTGACCCTTCCTCAGATCCAAGAGTGGCATCAGCTTCAGGAGAGACCAATCCCAGAAAGCAAGTATTTCACCCATCTGCCTTATATCGTCCCATTTCAGACTTCAAAACCAGTGTCTGGTTACAGCAAAGAAAGGAAGCATTCAGCGCATCCCCTGCCTGTGTTACCCCCCCAATTGTTTCCCCATTACTCTGCAGCTAATCCTGCCTCACGTCATTCTTCCAGCCAAACTGGAACATTGCTCACGCCAACTGCTTTCTGTCCTTCTGAAAGATCTTCCTCAAGTACCTGAAAGGACAAACAGCAATGTGGTATTTCAAACGTATTTCTTGCTGGTTGAGGAAATGTCATGGTGGTATTAACGCTGTTTCATCAGAAATAATTTCAAACGACTTCAAAGAGCTCCTTTGGTTGGTTCCAGCAGGTGGTGAACATTCTCTCAGGCCCCAGAAAGAATCAAACTCAAAACCACTGGGTGAATCACCAAACTACAACGTCATGCATTACAAACTGCAATGTAATAGATGACTGGATAGCCTATGCATCATACACCAAGACAATGTAACAAATCCCATACAGAGCTGAGGGAATCATGTGCAGAAGGATGGGGGAATACATTATCAAATCAGACCGTGTCCAGGGTGATATGAACAGAGATCAGCCCTGGTAGTCTAGTGATCAGGATTCAGTGACTTCAATGGTTAACATTTACAGGAGGAAATATAAAACACTGACTAATCTTTAGAAGCAGAATTATGTCATGGACCAGTCAGAATTGATTCACTGCATATTACTGTTCCACATTAGCAATGTCAGCTGTAATTGCCTGATGTGCAATCGGTTTAAAACAAGAAAAGAGCGAACATCAGGAAAAGTGAAGGGCAATGGTGGTTTGCGAGAGTTGACTGTCGGCCTCCTGAAGCCAGGCCCAATGTGGGTTCTGAAGATTGATTTTCACTGTTTACCCCGGTACATAGATCACTCTGAATCAATCACCCACAATGACTCTCCTTTGTGTGGTTGCCCTTTGCACATCTCACCTCGGTTCAGTGTCCGGAGGGGATCCACGCATGTTAACTTGGCAAATTTTGCAAAGTCAGCTTTACAGTCTCATATTAAGACCATAAACGTTCGGAGCAGAAAGAGACCATTCAGCCCATTCAGTTTGCTCTGCCATTTAATGAGCTTGTGACTGATATAATAATCCTGAACTGCACTTTCTTGCCTTTCCCCATAACCCTTGATACCTTTACTGATTAAAAATCTGTCAATCTCACCACTGAATACACTTAATGACCCAGATCTGACAACTCTCCGCTGTAAGGAATTCCACCGATTCACAACCATCTGAGAGAATAAATGTTTCCTCATCTGTCTTAAATGTGCGATCCCTGTTCTGATATTAGGCATTCTGGTGCAAGACTGCCCAGAAGGAAATTTTTTGTGTCCATATGTTAAATCTTAAAGAAACCTGTATGCTTTAATAAGGAGCAAGTATTTTTGTATTACTGTGTCTGAGTACGTGAAGTCAATGGGTTTCAGTGCTTCGTCCTGTTTGGTTTCATCCTTGATGGTAAAACTTCCACTGATTCTGACAGAGATGTCCGCTGTACATCTTTTAATGTCAGGAATTCATGTTCATTTTAAGAGTTTGGACAGGAACAATAAAGTCCTCATTCCTATTTGGGAATCAAACCGAGAACACAGCAGTTGCAATGCTGAATCCCAAAAAGGAAGGTGCACACAATATTTGCAACTTTTCTTCTTGACAATGATTTTGACCTTTTGTTTCACTTGCAAAATGATAGTCAGTGAGATTTTAACACCATGGAGAGAGGCCCTTCAGCCCATTATATCTATGCCAGTCATCAAACATCTCACTTCTCAACCCAGTTTCCAACACTTGGCCAATCGCCTCGTTTGCGCTGACGTCTCAAGTGTTCATCTGAATAGTTAGTTTATGTCTTGAGGGCATCAGTGGAACAAAAACACTTCCTTCAACAAACGACAGGAAATGTTGTTTGCTGCAACATGAAATCTATGTTTTTCTCTTTGAAGACAGTTATGAAAGCCAACTCTTTCTCAGAGCCGTTTGCCAGTTTTCCTCATGATGCCAACAGTATAGATTTAAATCCCACACCGCGTGAGGTTACTATCCCCTTTCAACCTCTCTGCTGACATGAGATATGGTGTCCTTCAGGTCAACCCACCACCAGTTTTGTCTCTCCCCTGTGACCTAGAATGTGTATGGCGACTCAATATCAGTACCAGTGTGGCTCAGTGTCAGACTTTGTGGTATTATTATCCCTGGGATGCAAAAGGCATTGTATAATTAATTATTAATTGTATTACATATGTCAGTTGCCTTGGAAGAAAGCGTAGAGAAAGATTGCTTTTACACATTACAACAAATAAAATTCAGTCTTTACAATGGTGGGCACTTAACACAGAATTCCGAGCGCTATGCACGGCATTCCTTATCACTGCGCAGGCTCAGTATGTTCCCGCGGGCCCACAGTCTGGAGCATGCGCAGGGAGCGATCCTGAGAAGCAGTCGTTCTTTTCCTCGGCTTTACAAAAGGTAACAATGAGGCGGAACTGAGGAGGCGATAGACCGGGCGGTTAGACGGGGAGGCTTTCTAAACACTTCGTGGATGCGGCAGACCCCGCATAAAGAAGCTATTTGCGCCCGTTTCACGAAACGGGACAAATCGAGGCTCCCTCTCAACAGCAGGCTGCGGGTAACGGCCGCCATCTTTGTAGGAGGCAGCAGGGCGCATGTGCGGTCATCATGGGCCAGGAGAAAGAATATTGTGAATGTCTCTGCTGGACTGAAAGGGATGGAGTTTATAAACTGCTTTTGCAGGGAGTGAGGAGGGGAGAATTTACACACAGCATACTCCAAATAACAGAAATATTTGTCTCTTCTGAAATTCTGTCCTGGACTGACTGAGATGGCTTTTGTAAACTTAATTTACAACATGTTAGAAGAAGATTTACAGAGTGCAAACTCAAACCACATAACATACCAAGATCTGACAGTGCCACTCAGCACTGGATATTATTGGCCTTTCAATGTAAGTATTGAGCAAGATAAAAGTTATAAAATTCCTTCCTTATATCTCCCAGTAGCTATTGCCAATATCTTAAATCTGTGTGTCTCTCAGTTTTACTGTTGGTAAAGAGGAACAGCAGCTCTTTGTCGACCTTATTTAAACCTATTATAAACCGAGACACTTTATCTCAATCTCCTTTGCTCTGTGCAGAACTTCAGTTTCCCCAACCTGACCTTACAACTCATATCCTTCTATTCTTGAACCATTCTGATTCATCTCCTTTCCAATCTCTCCTCAGAC